CACTTCATTTCCATCTTTTCATTTTCTCATATTTTTTCTTTTCCCTTATGAGCTTTCCCCTACCCTTCCCACTTTCCCTACACCTTTAGCCCCTTTCTTCCTGTTTCACATTGTCAATTATATCATTAGGGTCGTATGTTCCATTATAGTTTATTCACACCAGAGAAACTATTCGGTATTTACACATGTGTGATTATTTTTCCATGTTCTTTATTTGTGACCCAAGTGTTCTATAATATTTGAAAGTCTTATCTAGGTCCCACGTTCTGTCTTCCTCTTGAAAATGTGCTGTAAAAAAGGAACGGAGGTACAATTCTGAATGCGGAGATCCAACCAGTCCCTTGCTGCCAATTTGCAGGGCAGCTGCTAGACAATCTCCTCATGCCATCATTCTCTACCATAAAGACAAAAGGTTCACCATGAGATCCTTTGTATTATCTAGCATTCCTTGTCTGCATATATGGCAAGGGATCTGTATCTGTAAGAACCTGGCTGGGATAAAAGGCAATCATGCTAAAGGAGCAGAGGGAGATTTATTCTACACGGCCTGCCCCATATCTAATTTGCTAGTGGCCAGAAACTGTGCATGAGTATCACAGCACTAACTTAACAGTCCCTACTACATGCCAAGTACAGTTGTGCATTCTTTTTACAGATTAGCTCCTCAATCCTTATAACAAAGTAGGTATGCGTACCAGTCTCATCTTACAAATGAGGAAACTGAGACACCAAGAAGCCAAGTCACTCATGGTCACACATAGTACGAGGCAGAGACGGGCTAGGCCAAGTAGTTTGGCTCCAAAACTGTGGTCTTAGCCTTGAGGTTGGCAGTGCCAGCATCTGAATGAGGGTTCTTGCCAGCAACTAATTCCTGAATTTGTGCTTTTACTGCCCTATCGCTACAAGTTCAGATAAGTAGGAATATGTATAATCTACTAAGATGAGAAAACAAAGCAGTGGTGGGAGGGGTAAAGGAATCAGTGAATTACTACCACGTTTCAAGGCTTTACACCTTCAATCCTTTCAACAATTCATTTTACAGATGAGAAAACTGAGGCTTGTGGAGGTCATGCAGATGAGGGGGGCAGTAGGGCTCAGGCAGTCTTAAAATGGCATCATGTGACTGTTTCAGCTGCACTGGTCGTCCCTAATTCATCTGTTTCAACTTGCCAGGCAGTTATCATTATGGCGGCTTTGCCTTCTCTATGTAAAATGTAGTGCACCTGCAAAACGAGGCCAATGGCAGACATGTAGCAAAGTGATAAGTAAAGAAGTACATTTAGTACTGTGCCTAGCACTGAGTGGACTCTCCTATCAGTGTTAATGTTTCTATGAATGAAAATATTCACTCTGAAATCTGTTCTGGGCTGTGCATGTACCTGGGTGAGAGGGATACCATGCTTTTTTGAAAATGTCTGAGGGGTACCAGCTGTCAAAGTCCTTTAGTTAGCACGGGGAATGAGTTGTTAAGCCTAATTCCCAGTGTTCCCTCTCCCCGTGTCTCTTCATGAGTGCCAAATCTCAGGTTCAGAAAACATTTTATTGCATTATGTTTGGCTGAAATATTTTGCTCTCTCTCTCTCTCTCTCTCTCACACACACACACACACACACTCACACACACACAGTGTCCTAGAGATACCTAGGAGGCTCTTTCCACAATTCTAACAATATGCTAAATTTGTTTAGGGATTAATGGACAGCAAATTAGCTTTCAGTGGCTTTAAGCTGTGGGAGTATTTTTATCCATTCTTCTTTAAGCATGTTCCAGTAAATGTTGATTAAAAGAACTTCTAACTACAAAAATTTTCAAAATGTAAATGGTTATTTCAGAGGAGGGATGAATGAAGAGGAATTTAAAGACAAGAGGGTTTTGATAAGAGTTAAAGGAAAGACTTAGTGAAAAGATTCAGAGTAGACTAGAAAAGGAGTGGTATTGAAAGCATGCATATGTGTAATATTTAGTGTATTGTTTGTTCCCACAAGCAGTGTAATAAATCTCCCTTAGAGTGATTACTAAATATGTCAAGAGAAAAAGATTGCCAAATAAGATGGTGTTAAGCCACAGGGCTGAACCCAATTATAGCAAGGGGATATTTTCCATCCATTCTCTAAGGTGACCATGCCCTGCTGGCCAGGGATTTGTAAACTAATAGTGATCTGCTGGTACTCCAGGTCTACTCCTATGACCCCGGGACCATACAATGAAGAAAGCAGATGCTATGAGTGAACGTGTCACTCTTACTTCTGAGTGGCAGAGTGATGTGGAATGACAAAGCAGCAAGCGGGGGGGTTGGCTCAGGTCACCCACCAGGCAGGGGGAGTTTGTGGAATTCAACTATAGCACAAGAGGTGAGAGGGTAATACAGCATGGGCAGTGAGTTGAGATTCTTTCTGTTACTTCTGAAATATCTCAGTTGTGGTCTTTGGTTCTCATGATCACCTGTCAAGTACACAACATTCACTTTTATACATCCACATAGCCATGAATGGGGTACATTGCACGTGCTTCCTGGACATCTATCTGTACATAGTTTTAGAATGCCCTGATATATTTTCCCAAAGAAGTCCCAATCAGAGTAGCAGAAATGTTCAGTAGCAGATATTCTAAACTATGGTATCAGATATATTCACAGGGGGAAAATGAAGCCAGAGATTGAAGCTATGCTTCAGCTAATCCACAAAATATACAAACACAATCTATACAATCTTATTATTAAATGAGGTAAGAGATTTTCAGAAAAGGGAAAATGACACAGAATAATAGTTGTGACCCTTAACATAGTCTGAATCTGTCATGTGAATCAACATGCAAGGCATATTTGTGTAACTGTGTGTACATTCTTGATTATTCACTCAACACACATTCAACAAGAACTCATGAAATCTACAGTGTTGTCAATAGTATCATTTCCTTGAATTTAGTGTGCATGCACTCACACATAGAAAATCAGATGAGATACAATGTCCAAAATAATGGAAGACTCTAACAGTAAACCACCAAGCACTTTGTACTAGTAAAGCCTGATCTAATGTCAATTATGATCATTATATTTTTTATTATTACAGTATTTGCTGCCAAAGAGGCCATATCTCAATGGCAAGTTGAGATTCCTTCTGAAGTTCTGAGCAGACAATTTAAATTGTTAGCTTCTTTATTCTAATCACTCTTTAAGTTAAGAAAGATAGCAGTAATAGCTACTAGTCTGCTAAATATATCCTATTCCATTTAAAAAGCTTATTGATTACAAATATCCTATTAAAGTGGTTAAATTATTATTCCCATTTTACAGTGGAAATGACTAAGGCTTAAAAATTTTCAATAACTCACCTGAAACAACCCAGCAAGTAAAGGGCAAATGCATAATTCTAAATCAGGCCTTACTTCACAGCAGAACTCTTAGCCCTAGACCAACACAAATTCAGCATTGAGGATGAAGAGAAAACAGGGAAGAATGAAGAATTATCAGCCCACTCGATTCAAATGGCCAATGGTGAAAATGCTGAGCTGCAGGACAACCAAACTTAGAAGTCTGGGGTTTGTTAACAAAGACCAGAAATAACCCCAAGAGTCAAGACCTTGTCCTCAGACAGTCACACTGCATGGCAATATTAACAGGTAATAAAGGGGATGGGTTTTGTGTTGGCAAACTTTTCTTATTCTCCTGTCTGTCTTTGGTGTTGCCAAACAGAACTTTCAAAGATAGGCTTATTACAAAAAAGGTCATGGAGCATAGGAGAATCCAGTAATAGGAAGTTTTGGCTTCCTTTATGACTTTAGCTGATTACTTTTGGTGTTTTGGAGGCTCTAGGAATGTTAAGACATTAGGTGTCTAAGACATTAGGTCTGAGATTTATCAGTTAAGAAGAGGGGAAGGGATTGGTCTAGCTAATCCTTAAGAACAGATTCTTCTAGTTCAGACACTACATAATTCTAAAATGAGTAATATCCACAAACTGTACAGTTTCAGGTGAGAGAAAGTTAAATTCATAAATATCAACTTGAGACTTATTACAGGTGCTTGCAGTTTGCTTTCACGACACATTTAAATTCTTTTCGGGCAATGACAGTTCTGATAGCAGATGATACCCAGAAAGAAAACAGGGTAAAGGAAATAGGTTTACTTAAAAAAAAATCCCCGTCTCAGAGTGATTTCCCATTCTGGGGAGGCACTGGCTCTTTTAATCCCCTTCTGTTAGAGCCTGGGACAAAGCCAACATGGGCCGCTGGTCACGACAGGCCAGAGTCTCATTTCCTCTCTCCCTCTCCTTGGCATCCACACATCTTCCTCGGAAGACAGCAGGGGCACCTTGCAGAGGAGAGTACAGAAGGGATCTGGGAGGAAGAA